ACAGAGCGACGTCCGGTTTCAAGGTAAGCGTCTGGACAAGCTTGCTTGAGTGTGTTATGCCTGTCGGTGAGCTCGAATCTCTGTAGCGAGGGCTCATCCGGCAAGGCCAAGAGACTTTGTGCATTGGCCGATAACTATCGGGCGGTTTTTACGTGACGGCTTATTGTTGCCTATATGCACAGCTGGGGGTGCTTGAATTGCTTCCCTTTTATTCTTCCAATCGAGTGTTGAATACTCGGTGCCCTCGTAAAAGGCTTACCCGTGCCTGGTACCCTTCCGCTGTTAGGACCACGAGGATTTATAACACCTACTTGTCTGGTCCGAAAAAGAACTAACAGTTCTTTAAGTCGGAGATAACTTCGGTCGTACAGCTCCAATGGAAGCGTGGTTGAGCTAGTTTGAAAGCTCTACTTACGTAGCGTCAGCACGATTTTTTATATGAACAAATTTCCCACCAATTTTGCCAATGCCTGACCATTTGAACTATCACTTTACGGATGGGTGGAGTTTTTTTCGCTTTGACGTCAAAAATAATCAGAATTAAACTTTAAAATATACTAGAAAAAGAGCAAACTGAGCTTAATCTAGTGGTATATCACTAAATGCAATTGAATCCATTTTGCGTCAATTACTCTCAATCCGTGTGCATACAAATCCTCATACGAGCTCATTTTAACCAATCGTACCCATCTCAGAATGGACATTGACCAATCACACATGCGAGGTTTTTTAAATAAAAACCTAACTGTTAATTCTTTTCTGGACCGGAGAAGTACAAGCTTTGCTCGTGCTAGTAGCGTGCTCTTATTTTTACTGGTTGGCCTATATAAGTAGTTTACAAGGTCCAGTTTGTCCCGGTGCAAGGGCAGAACTGGGGTCTTCAGGTCCGCCCGAACGATCGTTTACTATCCTAGTAGACGTATTGTTGTGGTAACGTCCTAACTACATTTGTAGCTAGAGTTCACGTGGGAATTCCAGCACCACAGGACACTGAGTGACGTGTACATATATTTCTATTTTTGGAGCGACATCGGGTTTTTCTTTGGGTTTTACGGAGTTGGATGTTTTGGAAACGTCACGAGCATACGAAGACTGAGTGTGTCGGGGTAGAACGCAAAGAAGTTTGTAAATCATCCGTTTGGAGCGTGAAGAAGTTTATGAAGCGTTAGTCTGGAACGTAAGGAAGTTTATGATGCGTTAGTTAGGAGGATGAGGGAGTTCGGATGCGTTAGTTTGAAACGAGAGGAAGCACTTTACGAAGATTTGTTGGCGATAGGAACGAGGGACTGACGGAAAGAGACAAGCCAGACGGCGGGAAGCGACGGAACGTTACGGCTAAGTGTCAAAAGGAACGAGGACTACGAACGGCTACAGCGGGAGGGTCTCGGAGCTACTTGACGGCCTTCTTCTGGCTGTCCTCATCTTCATCCTTGTCGCTTTCCTCGTCGTCATCCTCGTGCGCGACGAATTCCTCCTCTTCCTGCTCGTCTTCGTCGCCATCGACCACGGCTTCCTTCTTTTCGTCTTCTCCATCGTCTTCGAGCTCGGACCAATCGTCTCGATGACGTTCCGTACTGGACGGAGGACGAGCAGTGGGGACCTTGTACATTCCCGCGGCGAGCTGAGCCATGATGTCGTCTTGAGCCAACTTAACAGTGTGACGATTAACGAGCGACAACCACGGCTCCTTGTTCTTGGCGCCTGTCCAAGTGGTGCTTGGCCTCCTACAGGACGTGGTGTTGCGACGAACTCGAGCCAGAGCAGCGAGGGAGAGTCGATTCTTCTCGTCAGCGGCTGGGTTTAGCGCGTCCGTAGACTCGAGCAAAGAGCGCATGTCGGGATACCCGTAGGTGTCGATAGCCGACGGGTCCAGCACGTTGGCGAGCGTGGCGTCGTATCGTTCCTTATCCCTCTGTTTCAGGGACGCTAAGTCCTCGGTGTTGGGTCCAGTGTAGGAACTACCGTCGCGTGTGGCTCTGCCGGGCTGGCCTCCGAGCCAGTACATCTCGGAACGCTTCTCCAGCATATCGAGGAAGGCATAGAGCCCCACGTCTCGGTGCAAAGACTTGTGAAGACCCAGCGAGCTTGGACGGCGCGCATCTTCAGCTTACGACGCTGGGTCATGGCAGCTGCCGTGGCCAGAGGATCGTGGAGAGCCCACTCCCAGAAAGATCGACGGTGCGACATCCAGAAGCGCCAGTGCGCGCGATACACGTGTTAAAACTGATGGAGTCGTACCAAATGGGACGTCCAGTCCAGGGGAACGCAAGACGTCAGGGCTTCTTACCGAGAGCCTCTGCCTTGGCCAAGACGGCGGCGATTGCACGGCGAACTGGGCTGGAGCGGCTTGGCTCACGTCGAGGAGATGGCCAAACTCGTTGGACGGGACATGTGGTTTCTTGGGCTTGCTGACGACGAGAGTCTTCTTCGCGGACGCCTTAGGAGGGGGGGGGTCGTCACTGCCGGCCTTGCGTTTACCACGCGCTGGCGACTTGGGCGACTTGGACGGCTTCTTAGAGGGCGACTTGGACTGTTTGCTGGACAAAGTTGTCGACGCCGAAGCGGAGCTGAAGAGGGAGCGGAGTCAGGCAGCGCGGGGGTGGCAACGACGATTCCTTGGGGAGAAGCGCCGGTCCAACCATTCAGGATGTCCTCGGCGAGCTGGCCCAGGAACTGAAGACCTGACGACATGCTGTTAGCGCCCAGACGCGTGCGCAGCTCGGTCCAAAACGGCTGCTGGAAGGGCCGCGCGGTGTCCCCAGTGGTGCCCTGCTCCTCATGGTCGAGGGCGGCGTTGATGAACGACCGGAAGCACCTCAGCTCGGCGGTGATAAGTCGCGTGGACATGGCGAGATGGCAAAATGCGAAATGAGAGAGATTTGAAAGCTGTAAAGACTCGCGTCTTTCTTTTGATGGCTGCCAAGAGGCACGCGAGAAGGTTCGACAGCTGGGACGTGGCGTTGATTGAGGGACGCAATGATGCTTGGTGACTTGGGCGGACAAGGTGTCGGTTGAAGAACCGTCCTAACGGCTAACGGTCTGGAGAAGCTGCGGTCGTGACGGCGTCACTTGACAATTAGTGGCGATGTTGGGAGTGTTTGTGGAATGGGCGGAGCTAGTGAACGTGGTGACGGAGATTGAAGTGGAGGACGATATTAGGGTCGTCGGCAGCGCTGTAAGGGGATACGTGGTTTGGATCGCAACGACTCCTCTTCGGAACGTGTCGTGGGCGTTCCTCGACGGGACGATCGAGAGCGTACGTGCCATCTACTTCTTCTGGTACACGTGCTGTGACCACTACCTGGTGGCGGCCCGAAATGCCCATGCCGCTGCTGCGCCTCCTCCGGAGAACGCGTGCGCGCTAGTGAAGCTGCTGTTTTTGGTTCCTATCGCGGTGCTACAGGACTACGAGTCGCGGTTTGGAATTACAGGTCGTATGTGTCTTGAGTGGTGTGAAGCGTTCCACCATTTGTGCTGTATATACGTTCCTGATGCGAGCCTACTGCTATGGAGCACGTCCTGCCCGTACGCACGACCGCGAGCGAAGCTGTGGTAGCTGTTGTGGATAGAGTTGGAGATTTTATCGCTGGGAGCTACTTGCTGACGTCTCTACTCCTGTCGATCCTAATCTACTTGCCCCGCCTGGTGTACGAGAGTGTCGATGGAGTGCGTGTGGCTGGATGGGGGTGGCATTGGTTGTTTGGTGGTGGACGTCTACCTGGAGCTCGATATTGGCTGCTGTCACTGGAATTTGGCTGTGTTGGTGGTCGGCTGCTATAGTTATGCGATGTGCTATTACGAAGGGCTCAGGCCGAGTGCCGCGGACCAGAATGGCAGGGCTGTGAGACGCAAGTGGGAAGGACTTGCTGGGCGCATCGGGCGTCGTGAGGAAAGAGAGCGTGCTAGTGTGGAGCGACTGCGAGGAACACAAGCCGAGGGAATGTTGTCTGGAGCAAGGAACGAGAGTCAAACTGCGAGTGGAACGTCACGTGGGAACGTTCCAGATTTGGCTGCGGAGCACACCTTGCGACAGGCTCTGGGAGATGTGGCTCGTCGAGGACTCCGAGCATCAGTCGGGGAGAATTGTCACGATGTACAGTTAGATGGTGGATTAACGATACTGGCTGGCTGCCTGCAGAAGGTCTACTTACTCCAGACTCTCCGGACCACGTCCAAGCAAGCGGGACCTGCGGCCAAGACAGTGACGTTCCAAGTGTGAAGTCGTGAAGCAGCTGGTCGTGGCGAGAGTTAGAGCTGGACCGCCACACACGAGGGATCTGCTGAAAGGTAAGGAGCTCTGAAACTCTTAGCGAGGGAAAATGAGGAGGTCAGTCGTGGATTTCCTTCTAAAAAACAACACAAGAATATATCAGCTTTTACATTACTATACCAGTAGTGTCGCTATTACTACTACCTCCTACTTCGGCCCAAGATACACGACCCCGATTAGAGGAGGACCGCGACAATTTGCAAAAGCTCATTGCTAGACCGCCAGCCTTCAGCTTTTAATATTATTAACAGCCGTTTTATTTTTGTTTCCTTTCTCCCTACGAGGGCGGCTGGTTTACTATTGGTTTTACAGAATTATAATGTGCGTTAGTTATAGGAGGCACAAGAAAGGGCCAGCAAGCCGGTCCAAAAAATCTTTGTTTTTAAGAGCGACGGATCAAATTGAAGAGTACCTTTTTTCTGGCACTTGGAAAATGGTAACCCTTTCTTGTGCCTCCTATAACTGACGCACATTATAATTATGTAAAACTGAAACAAAAAGAAAAAACGGCTGTTGATATTATTAAAAGTTGGAGGCTGGCGGTGCTTTTGCTTCGTCTGCAACAGCTGCACCGCACGGAACTCACAACGTAATCTAAAAAAATCATAATCGACTCGTGTAAACAGCTTCCCGCATGATAAGGAAACCTACGGACTTTTAAGTGCAGTGGAAAAGTAAAATTCATGCTCACTTCGCATCTTACCGGTACTGCCAAGCGCACTTGTCTACAATGATTCTATGGGTGTCATCCAGCCGTATAAAGAGCGTTTACAGCGGTCCGCTTTTGGCTACTGTTACTCTGTTGATCTTCGTTGGATTGGCGTTAGGAGCAGCCAATGTGAAGGTGGAGGGTACTGATGTGGACCTGAAGAATAACATCCGACTTGATCGGCGGTTGAGGACGCTGATTGCTAATTCTAACTACAGCCCCGAAGACAGAGGCGTCTCCAGTATAAAAGAGCTGGCTCAAACAATTAGTGTGGATAAACTTGCTAAGAGTATTAAGACCTTGGTGGCACCTGACAGCCAGACCAAGATCGCCAAACGCTTTAATAAGATCAAGGGTAAAGGCGTGGAGTCCAATGTGCTCTTGAGCGACAAGTTTGATGGCTCGGCTAGCTACGTACTCCTCAAGGTACTCAAGGGTGAGCAGGCAGCAGCAGACAAAGCGATATTCGCGACGCTGGCAACGCACTATGGTGATGCCTTCCTGCCACACCTGTTGGAGGCAAAGCGGATGGGTAAACACTCGATAGTCAGTCGGTTGGAAACGATTCAGCGTAAAAACTGGATGGGCGATGGAAAAAGTGTGGACGACGTCTACAGAATACTAAAACTCGACGAAGAAGGCCAAAATATTCTCAAGAGTCCAGCCTTAAGCACGTGGATGAGCTATGCATCGAAGCTGAAGGAAGATCCGCTCAACATGCTACTGCTCAAACTACGAGCACAATACGACGACGCAGTAGTACTAAAAATGATTGCGATGTCAAAGGATAAATCCGATGACGACACGTTTAGGAAACTTGAAGGTGCACTGATGGGGAAATGGCGACAAGACGGTAAAACTGCGGACGATGTGTTCCGGCTGCTGAAGCTGGATGAGGAAGGTTCAGATCTTCTAAGAAATCCGTTGCTAAAAGCTTGGGTGTCTTACGCGGGTGGTCGGCTCAGAGCTGACCCGTATACGCATATGATTTCAGTTCTCAGACAAAAAAAGTGTCAATGATGCGAAGTTAGCGTGGATGATCGGTACAGCAAAGCAAGACCCCAGTGCAACGTGGATTGCCGGCAACATGGAGTCTAGGCTGATCAAACAATGGTCGGGCGAGAGAAAAAGTGGTGAGGACGTCTTCACGCTGATCGGACTCCATAAGGAGAGAGACCAGTTGTTTAAGAGCCCCGTATGGAGTACTTGGGAAGCCTACCTGAAAAAAATTGAAAAAGAACCGTACAAAGCCATGTACGCAGTATTGGGGGCACGATTCGACGATTCACAGTTGGCGGCTCTTGTTTCGAGTTCGAAAGAGGCCGAGAAAGTTATTCTGAACGTTTGGAGCGCGAATGGAAAAGCCGCAGACGAAGTTTTTGACCTCCTGAAGTTGAGCGAGCAGGAGAGCAAGATGTTCGAGAGTCCGGTATTTGGCACCTGGGTCACCTATGTCGACAAGTTGAACAAACTCAGGCAATACCCAGATGAGTTTGAAGCTGTCAAGCTGTCGGAAAAACGACTAGGCAGCTCTCCCCTGGCACTTGAACTCGCTTATTACAAGTATAAGGTCTATACTGCAAGTGCACAACAAGTGATCAAGAGGTTGCAAGCAATGCAATTCCAAAATTGGCTGGCCCAACACGAAAATCGATTCACCCCCGTTGAAGCTATGGCATTATCGATCCATCCAGCGGTGAAATCAGAATTCCTTCACTACTTCACAGGTATGTTGGAACACGGTGGCTTCGAAGCAACTCGCAAGCACGCTGTCAGATAAGAAACCGTGCTGATTCGAGCGGTGTAGGCAATATGGTTTGGTCGTTAATGCCATGAACCAGGCCAATTCCTGAAGAACAATTCCTTATGTAGGCTGTCATCTGTGGCCAATGTCGCGAGAGTAAGGCTGATACTTCCTGGCTGCTTAAACAATGCTTCAGTAATCGGTAAGCAGTACTGCATGCACGTATTTGATCTTTGTTTATCGCACTGCTGTAGTAATTATTAAACTTCTTGCGTAGTAGTATTATAAAACGCTACTGATATACTATAGGCTAAGGAATAATGTACTATTAATAAGTAGCGTATTCTTCCGAACAATAACAATACTGTGGACCGGCAGCTTTAAGTTAAGTCGTGAGATGTAGTGGCCTATCCGGACGAGTTTTGCACCGACTACCGCTGCGGCGTCTACACTCCACGCTGTCACTGGTGGCATCGAGCTGATCATGCCGAGTAGTTGAAGCTTATCGTCGTCTATGACTGCTGGCTAATACATGTAGAGAGGCGTCCTCGGATAAATGCTCGATTATTTTTGAGGATTTGCAATTATGAGCGCCCGACGACATGATAGGCTGGAACAAAACAATGTTACTCTAGTCGTACGAAGCCGTGTTTCACTGAGAAGCTCTGCATTACACTACTATGTGTAGGGTGGGTGCTTCACTATTGGCTTCACCGTATTGTAACGGACGTCAGTAAGGAGCGTCACATTCTCAGTGCCAGAAAAAAAGTACTTGTCAATTTGATCTGCTCAAACTTTACCAGGATATTAGTTCCTATGCGCTCCTTGTTGCCGCACTTTACAGTATACTATTCCTGCAGTCATGTTTACCGTAGTAAATACGCGTCGCACTGCGGCCACAAGAAGGATATTTAGCAGTCGCGGTGTACATGTAAGCTGAAATCTGTTCGGGCAACATTCACGTGATTAAATTACTTCGGCTACCGGTAGTCGTAATTTACGGGATGTTGGGTAGTATCACTGATGCAATCATTGACTAAAGTCAATGTGTTGTTTCTGATACAAGCTGAAATGACACGTTGTGCAGGCTCAGACAGTAAACCCATTATATTGGGTATGACAATCCAATGTAGATCTTGTACTCATGTAGCAGGCGTATCAAGTGCTGTAGTAAATTTATTAAAGTTTTGAGCTTGAAGCGTTAGTTTGGGATCTGTTAAGAGTAGTTTTGGGTCAGAATCACTCGCCTTCTCAACTCTGGATATAATCCTGAGAGCTCGATACGATACGATGTTGCCAAATGGGCGGGATGACCTCCAAAGGCCTGCACGCTCTGCTTTTATCTAATATTCCCTTGAGCATAAGCGACTAGGAGTTTGGACTCGCATCACTTTAAGGATGGGTCTAACGTCGCAGGTCAGGTCTGGTTAAACTGAACATTTTCATTCATTCAGCTCTGAACATGGATCCAAAAATGGTTGTCAGCACCTTCAATTGGGTACATGTAATCTAATCTATCTGACACGGCTGAAAGTGGTTGGCGAAAGCTTTGTTTGACGCAATCGCCCGTAACATTTGCTCGTCTGTCTAGAGCTCACTCACTTTAGCTAAACCTAAAGAGCTTTCAAACTAAAAATGCCGACTTCCAACGTTGCCTATCGTTTCGGTGCACAAATTCGACGGAGCCCTTGAAAGACAATGAAGTCCTTATCGAACTCCGTGGAGCTGCTCTCAACTACCTTGAGATCTCGTCATCGCCAACTCCACCTACCCCAGTTCATTGACGGAGCACGTCGATCCATGCTCCGATGGGGCTAAAGTAGCAACAGTACTGGTCGACAGCATTCTAGTGGGTGACCGTGTCATCACCAACTTTGACGTTGCTAGCTTAAACAACCCCGCTCTTAGCGATGGATCGCATTTAGGAGGTACATTAGGTGGTATGTTGCGTCAGTACGCTACGGTGCCAGCTCAAGCTGCCCCAAGGACTGTAAGCTAGACTTCGTGCAGCTCGCCTTTCTCGTGTGTGTGACTAGTCTAACTCCACTGCGTTCTGGTGGTTCTCCGAGGCACGGGTGGCGTCTCCATCTTCGGCTTGCGGCTACTTCAGCCTCGGACGAGAACTCAAGTTCGTGAAGGTAAACGCGTCGACTTCGTGATTGAGACTGGAGGCTCTGGTAGAGCATCAGCGTCATTAAACTGGGTGGTCATCGGCTTCCTGTCTCGCGCAAGCCCGACGTCGCAGGCATGGCGTTAGGCAATTGATGTATCATTAGCATTCAGATCGGCAGCAAGCAACTAACGGAAGAGTTGGTACGTGTGGTCACAAGCCAAAAACATCAAGCCGCATTTTTGCAAGACGTTCGGGCTCGACGAGGAAGAACTATACAAACAGCGTTTTAAGTATCTGGAGATAGCTAGTCACATTGGAAAGATCAGCAACACCATCATAGACTCATAAAGCCCCTGAAGCTTTCCTCTTCTAAGTCGATTACACGCATCATTTTTCGCTTATAAATCCTCATCGTCGAGCCCAAGGAAGTCGGCAAGTCCACCATTGGACAGTCCGTTCTCGGTTTACTTTTCTTGCTCACGTCTATTCTGCTTCCTAGAAGGCTAACTGATTTGCCAAGCGCACGGATCGTATTAGCAGTCAGGAACACTGCCCATCGGTGTGATGATCCTCGAGCATTGTGGGACGCATCAATAGATCCGTATCAAAGTAAGAATGATGGATATATAGCTGCTTCAGTGTGCTGTGTTAACTCCCATGCAACTATGAAGCGTGTTCGGCGGCAGTAATGAAGATGTCGCCAGTGTCATCTCGGGACATCCACGAGCCGCATGTTTCCGAGTGCGTAGACTTGCTCATTAGGGACTTCTGATTCATTGATAGAGCATTTTGTGTGATAGGAACGAGTGGACTTTTCAGTACAGAAAGCAGATTTAGACTGCCACGTATTTGTAGTTACACTGGCTCTAGACTACCGAGCCACTGCCGCAATGACTTTGTACCCCTCCCCAACTCGTTCAAAAGTGTATTTACTCGCCTCGTTACCACTACGACAGCTGAATAGTCAACAGGGGTTACTGATGAACCCATCGTCGGTTTAACCGACTTTTATCTTCACGCTTCGCTTAGACGTTCTAATGCTCTAAATTGAAAAGAAAACTACCAAAAGACAGCCTCCATGCAGGAATAACCGCTTCAAAGTGCGTCGCCCAATCAGTTGCGACTTGATTCCGACGTTATTGCTTCGACATGACGCACACTGCACCGGCACGGAGCTAGATTTTTCAGACCCAACGTCCCTATGTACCTATTCGATAAATTCATTTCCACTGATTTCCGCGTCTAGATGCATTACTTTACCGGCGACAAGGTGGCGTGATCGTGTGTGTGCTGTCGATCGACTATCGCCCGCTTGCCTTTCCTCGATCATTCGCGCCGTTTCCACTGAGCTGAAACGATCTTCGCCAACGAAACTCCTGGTGTTGCTCCTCCTGCGACCATTCTACACAGTCGCACCGACGTTCACATTTCTCCTTTTACCACTAAGGACCAACTTGGGCCACTCACCTCAAAGACTCCAAGCTCCTGCAAAAATGCTCCCCGGCAAGTACCTCGTTGCTTTTATCGCCGTTTGCGCCTCTCACTCGTGTGTGGTCAGTGCTGGGGGCTATAGTCTCCCGGACTACTCTCCACCGGCAGTATCTGAAGCCTCGGTCTACCAAGAGGCAGCGACGCCGTGTCCTGAAACAACCGAGCCGCCTACAGCGACTATTCCGGTTCAAGAGGCGTCACAGGTATACGTGCCTACCCCGACCGAGACTCCATGCCCGGAGACGACAGAGCCCCCTACAGAGACTGTGACTGAAGCTCCATATGTGCCCACTCCAGCACAAGAAGAGGAGACAGAGCAATACGTGCCCACTCCAGCGGTAACTGAGACGCCGTGCCCTGTACTGCCGACCCCTCCACCCGAGGAATCGACACCATACGTCCCCACAGAGACCCCTTGCCCGGTATTGCCGACCCCTCCGCCCGAGGAATCCACTCCATACGTCCCGACAGACACCCCTTGCCCAGTTATCACTCTGGTACCGGAGACGTCTCCCCCTGTTTACCAACAAGAATCTACCCCGTCAAAAACCGAGACAGCAGTGGATATTCCTTTAACGTTTATGCCGGACACACTTGCCCCTGAGGTTTACACTCCAGTTCCGGCACAGACGACTCCATGCCCGATTTTCACTTTACGACCCGATACGGATGCCCCTGAGGAATCGACGGAGTACACGTCAACACCGGCACCAACGACCCCATGCCCAGTTTTCACCCTAGTGCCGGAGACGCCGGCCCCGGAAGCGGAACAGTACCAAGAATCCACCCCGTACACTCCTGAGACCGTGGATACGCCCACTCCAGATGTTTACACGCCGGCACCGACGACACCGTGCCCGGTCTTCACCCTGGTGCCGGAGACGGATGCTCCGGAGACTCAAGAGCAAGAGCAGACGCCCTACACTCCATCGGCAACCGAGACTCCTTGCCCGACGGAGACGGAGGAGGCGTATGTGCCGTCTGAGACTCCGTGCGCCACGACACCGGCACAGACCGAGGCTGCAACTCAGGAGCCGGTCACGGACGTCCCGCTGCCTCCTTTCACGGAAGAGCCAACGGAGACTCCCTGCCCCACGACAGCCACCCCGGAGGCTTACACTCCCACTCAGACGGAGGAGTCGACCGAGGCAGAAACGCCGTGTCCGACTACTGCAGTACTGGAAACCGAGACGTCGCCGGCACAGACAGACGAACCTGTGGTAGATACGTCCGTTCCAGTGGAAACTGCAATCCAGGAAGAAAACACAGACACCACCGACGATATGGGGGACACGTTCGTGGACGCGATTCCCACGCAGCGTCGAAACCTTCGGTCGGATTGAACGTGTAGGACCAGTCCCTGGCATCTCTACTGCATGATTTAAACAATGCAAACACACACTTGATATTATACTCCTCTACCGACATCGGCTAACTCTGCCAATGGTGCTTAAGGTTATTAAGGTTAGCTTTATAGATCACACCTTGTGCTTTCAGCTTACCAGCATGAAACGAATACTGTGGGCATCGGCTGCATCTCTGCAAGGTTAAAAACACAGATCCAGTGAGTTTTTTTTTACTGGAGTGTTTGAGACGGCATAGGTCTCTTGCCTTACGACGTGGTACCGGTACATGGCAAATGTTACGCTCGTTTGACGAGATCTCTCGCGCTCAATTTTCGGCATTACAGTACGGACAATTCTCGGTTGAGATCGATAGCGATTACGGAGTCCGACTCGATTGTGTGGCAAGACAACAATTATTGATACAATATTGACAAACTATAGGCTTGTCACCCATGCACGTCAAATGCGCCTTTGTATCTTTGGCGGTCGAGCTTACCAAACGACGAAAGTGGCCATTTTCACCGTACGAAATCGATGTTTGTGTAGTCCCAAAAATGCTCCTTGCGAACAAACAATGAGAGAAATGCCTGTTGGGACTCCGCAGTAATGACACAAAATCGTGAATTACCGGTATGCGATTAAACCGCTTCACTAATAAACCTTTCACAGAACTTGCTTGAAAAATCCGCAATTTAAAGTTACGTAGCGGTAGTGGGTTTTATTCGGCTCATTTGCTATTATCTCGTGTGCTGAACGCGCCGAAGCGTTGTTTTTAACCAACTACTTAAGTAAACCGTTTAAAGGGCAGCAACTACGGTTTTTAAGTTAGAAAATGTAACTTTTGCAGGTCTCTCACATAAACACTGAGGAAAGTGTGGTTAAAATAACGCTGTACTCGAGTACAGTATTGTGCTGATCATAATCACCGGTCAACACATCATCATCTACAGTCTACAGAGGACAAGGATCGCTGCATGGAAGATATTGATGTCAGTTTGCTGATCATAATCACCGGTCAACACATCATCATTTGCAGAGGACAAGGACCACTGCAAGGAAGAAATTGATGTCAGTTCTGCTTTTGCCTCGGACGTGCATGCACACAGCAATGAACAGCTCGGACCTGGACTTACTTGACGGCGTAGGCGACGTGACTCTGTCTGACATCGTTGCACTCTTTGGTGCTCTTGAAAATGATACATCCCATAAATATCACGATGAAGCCACTCGCCGTGATCATATCACCACATTTAAGCCGCAAGTATCTTCAAGAACTCGTCCGAGAGCAAAAAAATCATTGAGTAAACCCCCTAAAAAGCGAAAGCACAAACCAGGTTACTCCACGCAGCTTCTACACCGAAGGAAGGCAGACAGAGTTGTACGCAAACGAAGATGACGAAAGTGCGGCGCTTAAGAAGAAACTTACAGTGCTGGAACGACAACTCATACAAGCTGGCATCTCTGTGGCGGAGGTTATTCCGTACGAACTGAAACAGGACGTCAAATCGTGGGCAACGACTGCATTGGAAGAGTTTCGCCGTCGTCGAACGGCTGAGACCATCAACAGAAACCTCAAGGCTGCTCAGGCAGTGTGTATCAAGCTTGGCAAGGCCATGCTAAAGAAGAATCCGCGTTAAACGTACGTGTCCTTCTCGTTCAAGAAGAGCTTACTAAAACTAATATTTCGCTCTCACTTTAAAAAAATAGGAAAAGAAGTACGTGTTTACGAAGCCGCCAACAGCTCGAGCTGCACTGGCACCCCAAGATAAGAGCCTCATGCTGATCGAACAGCTCGCCCAAGCCGTACCGCAACTGTACTCGCTGTCCGAGACTGTGTACTCTAACAAAGTTATGCCGTCTTTTGGTTGCCGCATGGAGTCCAGCGTGGACGAGTCTCGCGGCAGGATCATTGAACTCGTCGCGCGAGTCCCAGCTGACTGCTCAATGAAGCAGGTCAGCGACATCCTTTGGCAAGATGTCAAGAATCTCAGCCGTTCACCTGACAAATCATACCGCTACGTACGTCCACCTATAAATTGAATGTTCATCATCTGGTCACTTATTTTTGTGCCTCTATAGATGAATGAACGGGGACCTGACGCCGTGGCCAAGAGCTTTGACTTAGCCATCCGATGCCCCGGCGACACGACTGCGAGTCGGTATCGAATACTTGCGCAAGTTTGAGGAGAAAGATCGCATCGTTCATATTCGACAAACCAAGTTGCTTCTTCCTGAAGGTCCACAGCTATGTGGTCATGCTTGGACAGTCATCTCGAAAACTACAAGGCTGCAGTGCGACGTGCGCTTTTACTTTCAAGTGTTTGTTGAGCGCCAGGAAGGCTCTTTTTTGGCGGTAAAAGACGTGAAAAGTATTCAGACCGAGATGCTGAACACGTGGGCGATGAAATTGCGCTCAGATTGGCAGTGGCAACAAGAATTGGTGGCGGGGAACCTTGCGCCTACCTTGCCACTGTAAGCGATACTAAAATGATACAGAGATTGATATCGATGCTTTACTCTAAACAAGTTTTGACGATGTCTGCGTTTGAGTTATTAGCTGTGCGTGCAATTTGATTTCGTATGCTCACGAGCTTCGCAATCACAAATACATGTAATACACTCATTTGAATTCAGCGACTCCATGATTACGGGGTCTTCGCGAGTCCATCGACCAACAAACAGTGGTACTTTGCTTATTAATACGTGTTTGCACACTCTGGCTCAGTATGACGTCACCTCCTTGACTGAAGCACTCGGTCTTGCCGGATTTCTACCAGATGCACGTGATATTACCGGTATAGGTACTCCCTGTTCATGTACTCTTCAGCGATATCGAGAGCACTCAAGAAGTTAATAAACACATTTAACAAAAAAACAGCGTTGTGTATACTAAGTGAGATACTTAAGTATTGGATCCAATATTTCAGTAGCTTGTGGACTATAAATGTATTTCTTTTTCAAGCTCCATGTCGCCAGTGAATCGTAAGGCGCACAGTACCCAAGCTTTTTGAACCGTGCCAGTTTAGAATCCACAAGAACTATCCTGGATATTAATAAGGGTTTACGTCTGACTCAATTCAAACATCTAGATGCTTCTTTAACTCTTGCTCAAGCTCGAGGAGTACGGTTTTCAGAACCACCCCCAAGAGTACATGTAATGTGGATGAGTGAGCGCTCGAATGTAACAAAAAGGGACTGGCATTTATGCAGTATTCAGGTCTTTGTAATCAAATGTGGTCAAGCCGCACAATCACTAATCAGCTCGTAATCACGTGCTGAGGACGAGGACGAGTACAGTAGCGCATTTTTCACGATAGAGGTTGCCATCAAATCGGATTTTCTCTTCGAAAGCACGAGCAACTTGTACCCGAATCTATCGGAAGACATGGCAGAGGCGACTCGGTCCGACATCATCGAGTTCTTGGAAGTTCTTGATGACGACGCAGGTCTACTCAAACCTGAGCCGGACGCTGTTGCAAAACATCGTCCGGTAAAGAAGCCAGCAGCGTCCAAACCTGCGAGGAAACGAAAGCACAAGCCAGGTTACTCGACCGAGCTTTTGCATCGAAGGAAGGCAGAAGCACGTGAACTAAGTCGGCAAATTCCTATCCTGGAGGAGTGGCTGGAACGGATAAAAAGACCTCGTACCAATGGCGCAGGTCGAGAGTTGCCGACTCAAGATCAAGAGCAGAATCATGAGGTCGTGGGCGGAAACTGCACTAGATGGGTTCCTCAAACGACGTATGGCTGAGACATCAACAAGAAACTTAAGGCTGTTCAGCAAGATCATGTGAAGCTCGGCAAGGACTTGTCCACGGTCACTCAGGATCAATCTGCGCTAAGTGTACGTGGCTAACTGCACCCCCTGTCTGTGTTAACTACCGTTTATCCTCACAGGAGAGAGGCTTCGTGTTTGCGAGCATACCAACAGCTCGTACTGCGCTCTCGAGACCGGATAACAGTCATGCGCTCGTCGAACTACTCGCTCAATCCGTGCCACAGCTGTACTCGCTGTCGGAGACTGTGTTCTCTAACAAGAACATGCCGTCTTTCGGTTGCAGTATGGAGCCCAGTGTAGACGAATCCCGAGGTGAAACCATCGAACTCGTCGCGAGAACTCCAGTTAAGAACTCGATGAAGCAGGTCAGCGACGTTATGTGGCGAGATATTAACAGCCTCAGCAATTTGCCAGACAAGTCCTATCGCTACGTACGTTCATTTGCAGAATATTTTTCAGATACTTTACTGACACGTTTGCATTCTTTAGATGAATAAACGAGGGGCCCATGCTGTAGCCAAGAGCTTCAATTTAACCATCCGATGCCCGAGCGGCACGACAGCGGCCCACGGTCTTCAATACTTGCACAAGTTCGAGGAAAACGACCGCATTGTTCACGTCCGGTTATCCAAGTTGCTCCTCCCCACGGAAGGTCTACAGCTATGTGGCCACGCTTGGACAGTCACCTCGAAAGCTACGGCCCAGGAATGCGAGGTGAGATTCTTCTTTCAACTCTTTGTCGAACGACAGGAAGGGTTTTCAGCGGCGGAAAAAGACATCAAGTTCATCCAAGAAGACGTGTTAAGCACGTGGGCGATGAAGTTGCGCTCGCATTGGCAGTGGTAACAAGAATTGGCGACGGAGAACGTTGCTACGATGGCGTTGTAAACATGTCAACAAAGTTGTTAGAGAACCAAAGCAGCTGAGAAAATTTAGGAAAAAAAACACGATTGATTCTCATCTAGTTCATTGGCAAATGCTGACGTTGAGCTCACGGTAAGCCCACGTCAAGCAAAACGTTTCTACGCGTAATTTGCAAACGAGTCCCTGCATCAAGCCAGAAGCGAGCGACGGACACGACCAAGCTACGACTTGTATCCTACACGACGATACACCTACAACCACCTAAGCACATGATCTTCAGGCTTTCCAGCGCTCTAAACGCCAACAACAAAAAAGAGCTGGCAAGTCCGGCTCATCCGTCGAATATCGTGCCGTCGACTCGAGATGAGCCTCTCGCTAGTTCACACGGAATAAGATCGACGGTACTGTTGCACTCGTGTCAAGCTCAACGAATTTGGACTTGACATGTTGCTCTCTCGTGCTGATAACTGAAAGTGAAAAAAAAAAATCTTCAAGCTGCAAAATCGTCAAGTTTTACTTTACTATTCATCCGTACTTTATCTGTAAGGGTCAAAACTTTCTGAACCAAAAAAATGTCCGTGGAATCGGCGGACTCGGTTCTTCTATCAGGACGGCAAGAGCTTCGACCGTTCTACAAGGCGCCGCATGCGCCGTCGAGTCGGAGGTCTCTGCTCTTGCCAATGCAATTCCCACGCAGTCGGTTGCGGTAACGAGGGAAATTTCGAGCCGTCGGGCTCGAGCACGTGCGTGTTTAGTCATCACAGTGGACGTCACTTGGGTCACTCACTTTGTTTTTCACACTCAAAGACTCTCAGCCTTTAGGCGGCGGTGACACCGGTCGGCTTGGGAGTGGGGGTAGTGGCTGCTGAGACACTCGATGTCTTCATGTGGCCACGTTTGTCGTTCTTATTGTCCACAAAGAATTGGGCCGCGTAGTCCGAAGATCCGGACGGACCACCGTTTGAACCCATCCCTTCACCAGAAGTTTGAGTGGGGAATCCCTGGCTTTGGAAGTTGTGGGCCGCCAGACCGCGTGGCGACAAGAAGTCCATCTTCATTCTCTGTTGCGTATTGCCGTGCACAGCCGCGGCGGCCGCCATTGCCGCCATATGATTACGTGGCGCGTGGTTGGCGCTGTTCTGGTTGTTTTGGTTGTGCTCGAAGACGTTGCCAAGGTTCTCGAGTAGAGGCGTGGTGCCGCCGCCGAAGTGGCCGTTATGGTGGAAGTTCATGGGCGTGTCGGGGCCCATGAGCTTAATGTAGTCGCTCATCATGGCGTCGTCGCCTCCACCAGGCGTCCGGTCGGTCAGGCGGGGCGTGGGGAACAGACCGAGCGACAGATAGTTGCCATTGCCACGCGAGACACTGGGTGGGCCACTGGCAAGGAAACTGTCAAAACCGGGGGTACGTTGGCCACTGGATGTGGCGTTTGCACCTGAGTTGGTCATTGCGAGCACACTGGGCAGCTGCGAGTTGTCAATCTGTGGCGAAGGGAGGCCCATCAAGAGCGAAAACTCGTGGCTGCGCGGAGTTGGGAAACTGTTGCCCAAAGGCGTGCGCAGACTGAACTTTGGCATGGTCGTTGGCACATTAATTTTCAGAGGTAGACCGAACGGGTTGCCTTGCTGTTGCATCTGTTGCGGCATAGGCTGACTCTGAGGCACCTGAATAGAGAGCGGGTGTGGCTGCATGTGCTGCGGCGCGTGGATCTGCTGCTGGATCTGCTGGTGGTGGAACTGTTCCTGCTTCATCTGCTGCTCGCGCTGCTGTTGCTGGCGCTTCTTGCTACTGAGACGTCCTCCCTTGGAGATGTTAAGCTCGGGCACTTCCTCGCCGTGTGCGCGCAACTCCATGGCGTGGCGGAAACAGATAGAGCCTGAGTGTTGCGCTGTCTTGTTGCAACCTTCCACGCGGCACTCGTGGCCGTGCGAGTGGCGGTTGCACAGTCCGCCGGCGCGCGCGTGTTGCATACAGCCGTCCACCTTGCAGCGTCGACCGCCACCGTGACGGACGCATTTCTGGCGCGCGTGCGCCTGCTTGGAGCATCCCTCGACGATACAGAACCGCTTGACCACAAAGCCGCCGTGCTGTAAGCAGAAGCCTCCGCCGCGCGCGTGCGCCTCGCAGTTGTCAGCCTGACATTGCTTCTTACCGCCGTGGCGCACACACAACTTGCGCGCGTAGACCTGGTTGGTGCAGTTCTCGACACAACATTGACGCCGGTTCTTGTGGAAGGCGCATTTGCTGGTGCCGTCCACTGCCAGGTTGTCGCAGTCGTTGAAGCGGCACTTCTTGGGCTTGCCGTCCGCTGCGCTGTGCTTATTGGCGGGAGATGCGTCGCTGTCGCTGCTGGCGCTGGGCGACGCGCTGGGGCTCCGCGTCTCGGCGCTCATTGAAATATGTGATGTGGAAGAGGTGAACACCTAAGCGACGGGAGTGATGGTCGACAAGCAACAGCAATGCCACGACCGAGAGCGATGTGTGTCGAGTTGCCAGCAACTTGCGGAATGACAACCCTGCGGCCGCAGCGGCTGTCGTTCGCTCGGGCGCCCAGCCGACAGGCAATTGGCTTGGCAGACGAGTCGGACCTCACGCCCTTTTATGGCCTGTGCCCGTTTTCTGAATCAGCAGGTACCTCGGCGTCCCACTCTTTTCCGTAAAATGATACGGCCGCCAGAATGTGCCCTGAAAATGGGGCTCCTTCGCTTTTCAGTGTTATTTTTGATTCTTTGGGAAATTGTTTGGCTGGGAGGCTTTGCAATTGCTTCGGCTAGGAACACATCGATACAGCAGAAAAAGCTGCGGGTATATTCACTCTAAAGAGCAAGAAGGAAGAGCAGGATATGCCGCTATTGCTCGGGATAGGCAGCAACGGCTTTCACAACGGACTCTGGGGCGGTATTCCGGAGATTGCTCAGCTTGCTGCCTCAAATGCAGCCACCGTCTTTCCAAGTCGTGTAGTAAGCACTGCAGCTTGGTGATCGACGCCCTATTCGACCCCCGAGTATTTATTTCTCTTTAGATTGGACTCTAGATAATCGAGAAGCGTGAGCCGGACAAGCAACAACTGTCACGGCCTAAGAAATTCTAATTCGGTGATTTTAGCAACAAGGTACATGTACAGTGCAAGTACTCACATCGAAAGCCTCATTTAAAGAGATTTACAGTTCCGTGCTGTTTTGGCGGCAAAATTCAAACTTTGGCTCTACGGGTATGTGCACGTTCTGTCGGCTCCGGATCATTCCCCCAGCCACAATCGAACAATCCAGTACGTCAGTCGCCCCATCGTAAAGGAGCGAGTACGTGCGTGCGAAGGATCGGGACAGGATGAGTCTTGCAGTCCGGCTTGCCTAATACGGCGTAAATGCCGCAGCAGATGTGTGCTCGCTGCAAAGGCTTTGGTGTTAGCGTCTTGATGGCCATCATGGCACCGTCAGCCGCTCCGTGCACTGTAGGACAAACTAATTGTGCCTATTCGAGTCAACGCTCTGGGCCGTCAGCTGGCGAGGAGTCGTACTACGACTCCTACGACTCGTAGGGCCCAGATTCTGCGGCCGTGGCCATCAGCGTATCCATTGTGCGGCAGCAGCAACTGCAAGTATGGAGCGTCTGAAGGCAGGAAGAGGTCCTCTTCAAGAGGAGCAGGCCCACGCTGCGATACGTGTGGTACCCGCAGATGGTCCGAGGCCCAATGATAGATGGCAGGCCAGGCTTGCCTGCGAGACTCGCAGTGCAAGTTGCCTCGACTCGTCTCCCGCGCATCAACACCATCACAGCCTGGAAGCATGGACCCAGGGCCCGGCACTACGGTAGTGACTACCGTCGTCGCCAACGCCCAAGGATCGTTGGCTTCAACCGTAATACATGACACTGTACTCATTTGCGCGCGTGTCCCAGACCAAGCAAGGCCTTTCCCCTCGCTTGACTGACCGCAACGACTTCAACGAGATCTTGGCAAAAATGAACCTTTAGAGAGCAGGTACATGATGTACGCCTAAGACGTCGCCTTGTAGATGTACTACATCTACAAGGCTTTAGAGAGCAGGTACACGCACGCAATAATGTTGCAGTGCTCCGGAGCGTTGCTTCAAAGCCAAAAGGTTGCCCGGAGTCGAGTGACTAGAGACCCTTTCTGCGGCGCACGCACGCTGTCTGTTTGCGTGGAACGCGACCGCTGGCGCCGAGCTACATGTATTACATGCTCTCTTCATCAAAATTCCAGCCCAGCCGGCTCTGTTCGGCGCCATCTTGTCTCGCCTTGGTGAGGACACTCGGCAGCCAGGCCTGCGCTCGCTCAAAAATCCAAAGTGTCGAATCGGTCGCTCAATTGCAAGCGCGTAAAATAGCACTCAACGCCGACGAGCAAACCACCTTCCAGCGCTGGGCGAGAAGGGTCTTCTTCTGTCATGGCAACGCGTCCTGCAAAAGTCAATGCCCGAGAAGCCGCCTAGTGAACTGCAGCACCGCGAGTTCCCCGCGCTGTGCTTCGTTTCATGTCACGTGGTCCAGTGCCATTGACGGACAGGCTCTACTGTGCCTCCAGTGCGAAATGACGACACCTGATCTCGCCCCCAAGATGACCTCTGGCGAGAAGATGGATGCCCCTTCCGCTGAAAAAAAGTGTCTGAGTTAGTGCTGTAGGCTGCATGAGGGTTCAGAATGTAGGCGCGAAGGCCGTCCGACTCGCGCTGGCCCCAGTCACATGCGCATTGGGCTGTCCTCGTTGCACTTGAGCTCATCTTTTGACTTTTCCACGGCGAGATCCGTTGCCGTTTTTGGTGGTCATTTTCTCTTTGCTTAAGGAGACCTGGGACAGGGTTTTCTTTTCCCTTGCGAATGAAGTTTCCTCAAGTGCAAACTGGCAACAATGGGTAGCTTTTTCACCGTGTTCATTATGGTGTTGCTCGCGGTGCAAAGCAATGACAAGCAGTTTGGCTGTGTGCTGTGTGCTGGCACGGGTGACTGTTCCGGGGCCTACCGAGGTAATTCTGGTCGATTCTGTGGCAACTGGCACGCCCACAGGGGAGACTGGCGACCTTGTTGCTGCCCGGACGAAACAATCTGCAATGTCTCCGACAACGCCTGTGAGTGTGGGAATACGCCGCAGTACATGTATGCAGATGATGATGATGACGATGGAGGCTTTCCGGATTGGCAGTGGTTGCTGCTGCTGGCACTATTACTCTTCGCCTGCTTCGTGGTGCTGCGAGCAACGCAATTTCGCTTGGCCGAGGTGGCTTGAGACAGACGTATGGGGTCGTACCGAATGTTCACCATGGATAATGAAGTAAATGATGGCAATACGACCGCAGCGACAGCTTTCATTTGGAGTTGGCAGCCGAAATATCGAGGTTTTTCTAGGACCAATCCGGATAAGTATTTATTACGATTAATCACTTTCTTCTCTTCTACCATACTGAAGTAGTCCTTATCTCTCTTTAATGCACTCTTAACATGAGAGCTGTGCAGAGTAGTTGCTGTGGGTATTCTGACGTACTGTACTCGCACGTCGCTGTGCTTCTTCTTGTGCTTCTCAACGTGGCTTAGGGCAGAGTGGTGACAAACAATCTGGCTGCAATGTGTGTGCCAGCACAGGCAGGCGTACCGAGGCGAGCCTGGGCAGTTCTGCGGCAACTGATTGCCCGAACGACCCTGTCTGCAAGGTCTCAAACTACGCCTGCAGCTGTTTAGGTATGTGCCGCAACAAGGTGCAGGTGAGGGGGTGGCGTTGGTGGTGGTGCCGTTTGTATTACTTGTTCTCACTATTTCTATGTTAGTGCTGGATCGTGGCGTCCGAGAGGTGACCACCTCCCAGTGCATATCCACCCACAAAGCCGGCCGTGCCGCCCAGTGCCGCACTGGTGCCTGCACTCATGTCATCCCTCGGTTTTGACGGGTTGCTGCTGATGTGGCTTCATAGATCTGTCTTCTAGCCACCGGAGTTTTCGGCTCGATGGTGGAGGGAGCTTTAGTAGTGGCGGTGGCGGTAGCTACGGCGGTGGTGGAGGTGGAGGAACATGCCCTGAAAGCGTAAGCCACCATTCATCGGCCAGAGGATTAAATCTATTACGTCTAACGTTAGTATGACGACGTTATCGAAATGATAACATTATATCTAGCAAATGCTCTTCAAATTTCAACTTCTTTTAGTCATCTTCATTCTGTCAAAACAAATTTGGGACGAGGCTTTCTCTCCTTGCAAAAGCAGCTAGCCGTAGAAGCAAATGAGCCTCTGGCGCGTCGCCGTTCTGCTTGTGGTGGTGCTCACTGCGGCTTCGGGGCAAGGCGATGAAGTGCAGTCTGGTTGTGAGGTGTGTGCCAGCACAGGCGATTGCTCGAGGGCCTACCGAGGTGAGTCTGGCCAATTCTGCGGCAACTGGCTGGACCGCCAGAGCGACCGACGTCCGTGCTGCTGCCCGGACAACGCCGTGTGTAAGGTCTCCAACTACGCTTGTAACTGTGGATACGCCCCGCATCATGCGGGCGATGGAGGATATGGACTGGTGTGGCTATGGTGGCTGCTGGGGTCTCTAGCACTGTTGTTATGCTGCTGTGGCTGCTGCTTTATGGCGTCCAAGCAGGTCAGGGACAGACGCCCAGCCGACGGAATTCCGGTTGCCGCACCCGTGGCTGAAGGTGTCTCCAGTCAGCCTTACAGGACCACGTCGACAGCGTATGCCAGTGCTCCTGTAGACCAGGGATACGCTGATGCCACACCTCAATATGGTAGATACCACGGTCAAAGCACAGGGGGTCGTGGTATGGGTGCTGGTACCGGCGCGGCGTTGGGAGGCACAGCCGGTCTTTTGGGTGGGGTTTTGCTCGGAAACGCTCTAGCTGATCACGGTGGAGATGCAGGTGGTAGAGAGTTCGATGGAGGAGGATTTGATGGAGCAGGTGGGGGCGGCTATGGCGGTGGTGGAGACTTTGCTGGAGACTTCTGAATCAAAACTAAAAAAAAATTAATACCGTACGAAGCAGTACACATTCAGATAACGTTTTAAGGGTTGAAGGGGTTAAGGAACCCATTTGGCCAGTTCTCGTACTAACTTGTCTTTCTTGAGCCACTTTTTATCTTCCCGTTTGCGTATATCCTCGGTTTGGAATTGTTTCCGTGCTAGTCTGCTCGGGAACTCAAACGAGTTGGGTGTCCTCTTGGACACATCTTTTTGCGACAACAATACACTTCTGTGATTTGCCTGCATTAGGCGTGAGAAGGGAGCGCGTAGTCCACCTACGATCGCACCTTTGTGTTTTCCATCGCGGTAGACGATGGGGATCTTGACACGAGCTCTCGGAGGCGGCGGTGGGGCCACTTGGCGAATCGTTGACACCACAGGAGAGAATACATTTGAAGAAGGCTCGCTTTTTGCGTTTGACCTTGTTGGTCGCAGTATCGTTTACTTCGTTGCAATCGATCTTGTTGGACGTCTATCGTTGCTCGAAACGCAGCTGACGACGGTGCGACTCGAGCATGCTTAGCCCCAACAGTCAAGGGGGTTCCCCATTGATACTGGTAAGGACGGTCATATCTCCGTGCGCGGGTGTATGATGGAATGACCCCCGCTAGCAGAGACCGAGGAGAGTAGCAACAATCCTAGCTGACATTACACCAGACTTCATGAATTTGTTTGAATTTTTTCTTGAAATTATCGGTATGCAACACCATCGTCCTGATAAAGGCGGGAGGTCGGACAATGAAAAAAGTATAAAAAAATCTTGAGGCACACTGAGCTAGTTAACGCGCAGCATTAGCAGGGACAGTTTTATCCAGGTAATGTCGCCAATATCCCTCTTGCAGAGTCCGTGATCCGGAAGAGTGCAACGCACTCGCATAAATCAAGTTGAGGCAGCGGTTCAACCGCGGCATGATCCTCGCCTGGCGAGGATCATCGCCTGTGTTGACCAATCTAATTGGGGTCGCCATTACAGTGCAGCAAAACAAAATTGACCAGGCACTTGACGGAGATCAAGCTGTACTGCAAATTGCAGCTTTAATTGATCGTGCTGCTTGGATTTGGCATTAAAGTACGACACGATCTATTTTCTGCGGTCACGACTAGCAACATGGATAAAGTTGAAGTGAGAGAATTGTCACGTCGCACTTGTCAGTGCAGACTGATAATAAGCTGACAAATCATTCAAGTGTACAAATTCAGCAACTACTGTATGCTGTGATGCTGTTCGTGGTGCAAAAATCTAACGATGCAACATTTCATCAGTTCATGCAGACTATTCACCGAACGCTTCACCATTTACTACAGAACGTATATAAGGAAAATGGACGTACGAATGAAAATGAAAAACAGTGCAAATTATCTTAAATCGAGACCGACCGAAACGTAATCCATGCACGCATTCCAGAGGTCGCCTCGTCCCAATAAACTACGCCTCACGCACCACATCCGACCTTCTCCTCGCATCTCCAAATCCTCCTTCGTTTGTTCCCTGCTTCTATTTCAACGGACCACGCCCACACGCGGAGCAAGTCGTACATACCACATTTGCCACCTCGATCCGCCGGTTTGTGTTTCTCTCTCTCCTCGATTTAACGCATCGCACCAGCTATTGAAGTCTTTCAGCCACTGCACTCCCCGGTAAAACGAGGATCAAAGACTGGACCTAAGCGACATTCCCGTCATTTTGACAGTTAAAAGTTGCTCGATTTTGCGTTGCAATTTTCGGTACCCATGCGGTAAGGCCTTAAGTGAAGCTCAGCAGCTCACGCAGCAACTGCTCATCCTCCTTTTTCACGAAGCGACCCTTCACTCGCAGTCGCGAGTCGGCAAAATTCTTGCGCACGTCGTATTTGACCTCTTTTCGCCATACGCGTTTCTGTCTCTTGTCGAGGAATTTCTCAATACGCTTCCGTCTAGAGTCAGGGGAGTAGGCGCCCACGAAGTTTTGCTTCTGGCCATCTTTGCCCTTGTCGACGCCCATAAAAGGGCGGGCAGCGCCAGCAGAGCCAGGAATGCCAATGGGTCGAGACGTCGACAAACTCGATGCTGCAGAGGAGCTAGTTGAGGCGCTAGTGGCGCCAGTACTAGTTTTGCTACCTGTGTCATTTTTGCCTTCACTTTTGATTCCTGGCTCGGTTTTCACCTGATTTTCCAAAAAGTCTTCGGCAAAACTGAAACCTGCGGGTGGCGTGATACCCAAACCCATGGAAGGCAACGAATTGGGCAACGATGCACCCAGCGAAGAGCTATAAAACTCCCCGTCTAGAATATCCCGCGCCGACACGTCCGCAAAAGAAGAATCGAACCCAAGTTCATCCCATTCGTCCAGCGACTGATTCCGTCCGCCTGATTGGAACTGCAACGAAATAACAGAAATTAGGCAATTGCAACAAAAATGAAACGACAGAAAATGCCCAAAAAACACAAACCTCATCTTTCGGAGTGTCGCCCAGGGAACCAACGTTGAGGAAACCCAAATCCAAATCGTCGAGAAGATCAATCGACGACGACTTTCGGTTCAGTGCTCCACTGTCTAACATGGCTTCGAGTGTGGTTGGGTCGCCCGCGTCAAACTTTTCCAACGCTTTTTGCAATGCCTCATCGCCACTGATAATAAGATCCTGGCAAAGGCAACACAGGTTTAGATACATACCTGCAACACTTGCATTGCTCCAGAGTGTCTTAACGCACCTTTAGCACCCCTTTCTGGTATCTGTCAATGTACCCGCGCTCTTCCAAGTCTGAGGCGCTAAGAAGTCGACTGGAAATGCTGCCACTGCGACCTCTTTTAGTCATGGGCATTGTCAAACTGCCCGGAGAAAACGCTGGCGGCGTGTGTGAGATCATGCCCAAGAAATCGTCGGCGCCCCAGCCAATGGAGTCTTTGCGCGGGATGCTGCTACTGCTGCCGGGAATTGACATGGAGCCGGATAGAGAGGAAGGGTCCTCCCTCTCCTTTTTTATTGCCACTGGCAACGTTGGTGGCAAATTTGATTTGGAAAAGCTCATTATCTGCAAGACAAAGAGCGACGGAAAGTGACCAAAGCGCAAGGTGAGGTGACTGTGACGTTCATTGTGACGGAAAAACTGCGTGAGTGTTGGTTGCGGCAACTTACGTGTGTTGAAAATCCGCCCTTGGTTGTTGCTGGGGTCTAAACGGCTTGTGTCGAAAGCGACAGGGGAGCTTTTCGCCAATGAAGAATTTTTTGCTGTAAGGCAAAGAACTCACCGCGGTTAATCACTTGCAAGTCGGCATAACAAATGCACGAACAGCTAGCGTGTTGAAGCTGCAGCTTACCTTGGAGGCACTGGCGGTGCAGGCAACAAAGCGCTTTCGCTACAGCGGCGCCAGCTCAGTTCTTCTGGCCAAAATTCAGTTTCGCTCCAACACCGTCAACCCAATTAGGCCCCCCTCCCCGTCAGATTCTATGTTTTACCTGCTGAATTTTATGTTTAATCCACCAACGGCTGTTCTTGTTACGAAATGCAGAGATTGTCCAGGGCATGGGGTCAATTTCTGAGGCAAATTTGCCTCTTTAATTGATTGCCGATTTGCCATTGTAGAGACGGCGTCGATAGTAACGTGATGAGATGACTAGCGCTGCTGCTTGTTGCGTACCTCAGCCTCCATGCATGTACCGGCATAGTAGTGGCAACACCTCGTCAACGCAGTGCGCTAAACAATCTGGACAATTGAAGCGAGCGCAGCAGCTGGCCCTATACCAACCCAGCATCTTTTCGCCTCTCCACCATCTTCACATTGGATCATGAACACGAGAATGGCATTACGCCGCGCAGATGGAGATTCGAGACGCTGTTTGAAACAGCGCGACTATCTGGACGCCTTAAGACGCGCTCACCATTACCAGCGCAGCAATACGCTCTCCATCTCATCATGGTGTGCACTACCGAGGAGCTCATGGTCGGCAAGTACAGACAATACAGACAACATGTTCACCTTTGGGTCGAAATCCGATGTGACATGGACATTATCAGGCGGGATGCGACCAGCTGCCGCCAGCCAGTCATTCTCGCCATCTGGCAATTTGGACGACTGATGTCACTCAGACAGGACGACGCGGGCAAAAACCCGAAATGGCTACAAATGTTTGCATCTTGCAAATACTAATCTGCAATTTTATTAGCAAGTTACAATTAGTCCTCCACGGCCTTCATAACGTATACGCCTACTAGAAACCCGTTGTTTGATAGCCCGGCAATGAGCTCGCGTCGGATGATCCCCGCTTCCTCGCCCGTGTCCATCCACGGTCGATGCACTCGCTGGCCGGTAAAGGCCACGACTGCCGCCAGATTCTGCTTCAGAGGCCGGTAGAACGAGTCACACAGATCCTGACATTCCAGTGCCAGCGCATTGAAAATATCATCGTTCCTCCTTTCTAGACCGTTAGCCATCCCTTCGAATGGGACTACGGGGAACTTGTCGTGCTCGCAAATGTGCGCGAGGATGTCGTCCGCTGTGCTCTCAGCTGCGTTCGGATCAGGATACGAGTCTTCCAAGAACATATCAGCCTTTAGTAAACTACGTCGCTCATGCATCTCATCATCGTCCAGACCTTCTGCACGCCACTCCACTTGCTTGCTCTTCAACACACGCGTGAACTCGTCCATCAATGTATTTGCCTCTTTCCGGTATTCCCGAATAGCTTTCTTTGCCGTATCGCAAAAATTGCACTTCGTCTTGGCATCACGCTTGGCAACAGCAATAGTTTCCCAGTGCATCCCTATCTCCGATACATGCATGTATTCCGTACCCGACGCGGCGAAATCGTCTCCGAAACGATCCCACATGGAATTCAACGCGTCACGAGCATCTTCCATCGTCCACGCTGCATTCGCGTCTTTATCAGTTCTTGCAGGTAGTGGCAAAATGACCGGTCGAGCACGACAGAAATCTCCAAACGGAGTTGCCACATAGGCGCGATTGTAAAATGGTTTAAAACATTTTTCCAACTTGCCAATAAGAGATAGCAACTGCGCGGCTTGTCCTCGTGAAAAACCCAATGGTATTTTATCTTCCATTAAGCGACGATTCAGCTCTTTCTTCCTGGCAACATGGCTGTGTTCCCTGCACTCGGACCAGAAGATCGATTCTTCTCCAGTCGATTCTTGCTGCTTCTGTAGGGATAAATCCATCCAATCACCGCTACAGCCGTGCAGTAAATGCACCCCAACGCTGCAATTGCTCAGCGCCATAACACCCAGGGTTTTATCAAACCGAAGCGTCCGACACGTCCCCAACAGCTGAACCATATCTTTGACACCCAGGAACCACAACGCGCCCGCCGTAAGCGCTGCATACAGCTGCTCACTGTACTCTACGCCGCAAGTAGCATCTCCGGTGCTCGAGCTGCGCCGACGCTTTATCTCGGCTCGAGTTCTCGGCCCCGTCATTAAAACGGTGTCTATTTAGAAATAGGGAAGAAACGTTTCAGTATATATTTTGTGTTTGTTACACCACGGAGAAAAATGTAGCCATGTTAGACTGGCAGCTAGGACATTCTGCAACATTTGGTGGTCCCGTCGCACTTTCCCACATGATATAGTCCCGCGTATGCGCGACGTCTTCGTTTGATGAAAAACTTTCAGAGCCTTCAGCGTAGAGCTGGTAGCATGTGCGCGCGACGGACGCTTGTGTCGGGTCCGACTTGGAGCGGGAGATGATGATCCAACAGCGGTCACGGAACTCGAGTCCCATGTGCGGTAGCGTCAGAATATTGTGTTTTATGACCACAACGCGGTCGGATTCCTCGAACTTGCGCATGAACTGGAAGCCGTCGATCTTCAATACACCCGACGGGTTGTGATAGGCGATGAGGAAGTTTTTCTCCAATGAATCGGAGTTGCGGCCACGGATCTGTAATAGTTTTAAGAAGTTATGGTTAGATATTTAAAAAAAATCTATGAAATAAGATATTTTTGACGTACGAAACTGTAGATTCTTTCGGGATCTTGGCTCTTGACGTTCAGGTCTTTCCACACGACATCCGCTGCAACATGCAGCGGACTGGATACGGGCGTTGTCGTGATAATCTCAATGCAATTGCCGGCCGTGTCGCTGCTGCGTTTTACTCTCGTGTTGCACGAAATGGTCTCTGGGAGGTCTGGTGGGAACACGGAGTCGGAGCTCAAGTACAGTCGCTCTACTCTCTTTTCCAGTTGGGAGATGATGTTCATCGTCTCGTCCGCCACCGAAGGCTCCAGTGGTGTGTTCTCTTTATCCTCGAACACAAAATCCTTGCCCTGTAGTTTAATTAAACCCATTAGGAGCAAATAAAACACGCCGGTCGGCTTCTTTTGCCACCTACATAAAGCAGCGAGCGACGCTGCACCAAGTGCCGGAAAGCTCCGTTGACTTTGGTCTGATTGGCCCAGATCTCTTGGAGTTTCCTGTGGGTTCTCTCTGCTTTCTGTCGTTTTTGGAATTCACCCACCGCTTTCTTGAGCCACTCCCGACTGTCATCGTCCTCGTTCTGGGTGGTTGAGTTTTTCTCCTTCTCCGTTCGAGATCGTTGTCTCTGTTGACGTCGCTGCAGTAGCAGCTTCACCTGCTCATCGAGTTCAAGCGCCTGCTCTCTCAGTGCACGCAATTCTGCCTTCTTGCGATGTTGTAATCGTGCCGAGTAGCACTGGTAATCACCCGCTTGATGTTGGGTTTTATCCGAGCTCTGCGGTTTCCGAGACGCGACTGAGCTAAAAACTTTGGATTTTTTAGATGTGCGAGCCTTAGTACGCTTTCCGTTGCTGTCACACTCGTCGATGAAGGCCAGCGCCTCTGCCAGCATTCCTCTGTGCGTTCCAGTTGTCTTTTTTTGGAATGAATGAAACTATAACTCGGATTGGATAAAATTCATGTGTAGATCGCTGATTGGTCTGAATAAAAATACTTGGCATGCAGAGTTGCAATGTGCGCACGTATTAATAAACTTCGATGCGCTCCGTTGAGCACTTTGTCACCACTTTTAGCAATAGTACTATCGTTGTTGTTTTGCCAGTCCATGTACTAATATTATAATACTACTAAACGCGAGAGGACTTGTCGATGAGTTGCACCGTAGCAATGTCCTTACAATTTTTGTTGCCACTCCTATCAATTGCAGTGCAAGTCACTTGAGCCATGTTGCTGGGAGCTCGGGTATCGCGCAGGTCAAGTGATCCGCCACTTGCCATTTTAACAACTTTTGACTACTGTACTACTGTAAAGAGAGCTAAAGCGCTTCCGAGTGGTTGTCCAGGATTTCTAACCGATGTACCGGTATTGGCATCACAAGCCGGCTATGTATCAGATCTTTTGTAAGCAGATCTGTTGGGACGAGGCTGTGAAGAACGAACCTCGTGATGGAATGCTGCTGGTTGTTGCTGATGTTGCTGGTCGTGCCAGCTCCAGCGTTAAGTCCTGGAGATCTTGACGGTGTCACTACTCCGCCTTCAGGTTGTCAGCTCTGTGCGAGTACTGGTGACTGCTCTCAAGCATTTCGCAATGGCCCGGGTCAGTTCTGTGGCACTTGGATGGCTCGCTCCAGCCATGAACTTCCATGTTGCTGCCCGCTGAACGCCGTCTGCAACGTTTCGCCAGCCGAGTACGTGTGCACTTGTGCATACGTTGGCGCGATGCCACCCTATCATAGCGACAGTGACCTGATGAACAAAGTGCTGTGGCTCTGGTGGATCCTCGGCATTCTAGTGCTAGTTGCTGTCTGTGGAGCTTTCTGCTACTTCGTCGTGAAGCGAATGATGGACCAGAGTGACGAAAGCCGCGCATTTGCACCGCTCGAGGTGATCGCGCCTGTTGTGTCTCCTACACGGGAAGCTCTTTACGGCAGCACAGGACAGTCCTCCGTCGTTCCTGAAGAAGTTGGTAAAGGAGGTGGCGCTGGTGAGCAGACAGCACTTGGTACAGCTCTAGGGGTCTTGGGGGGCGTGAGCCAGACTAGTCATCCCGCCCCACCCGATGATCTTGACGTTGGTGGCGATGGCTTCGACGGAGGCTTGGGCAGTTTAAAGAACGTTCAAGACGAAGCTAAAGAATACGAAGGGGACAGCGCAGAATATACAGACGAGATTGCTTTATTAACGGTGTCTACAAACGAGTAGTTTTGGTCCAGTAACAGTGATTTTTTTTATTTTTCGTCGACTTATTGAAGAGTGAGAAGCCCTCACTTGCGGTTGCCCATACGTTGCTGGCGTTCGAGAGCAGCCGTAACGAGTCGACTGAACTCGCTCTTGAACACGTTGGGGGTGTCGAAAGTAGTCGCGACGGCGCGCAAGTGGCTTGGCAGTCGGGACTTCGACGCCAATGGGATGGCAGTGTTGCTATTCCCCGTCGTGTGCTCGAATACGAGGCTCTGTGAGCTGTCCAACCCTGCATTCTGAATAAACCACTCGTACCTAGCACGCAAATACTTGATGAGTGCGTCACCCCCTCTCTTTATTAGTCAGACCGATACGAACCAAAGCACAGCCTCGCTCTCGTGGACATGCGACTCGGGGTTGTAGACGAGAATGACACCGTCCGTATCCTTCATCACTGCCGGCCAACACGCCTCGTAGCTGCATGAGAGTAGACACAATTAGCTGAAGGTCTGTCCAAAGAATACCTCTGTCCTTACTTCTGATCTCCCGATACGTCCCACAGCTCCACATTCGCCTTGCCCTTATCAAGCTCCAAGATCCGCACACCAACGGTCGGTTGGTAACGTTCCTGACTGCCGAGACGATCGGTGTGTTCGGCAAGGAAGTTCGCAATCTAAAGACACGAGGGATGAGCAAAATGTGGACATCGGGATATTGCTCATTACATGGAAGCGTACAGTGGACTTGCCGGCCTCTTTAGGTCCGACGATGAGGATCTTGAGCGGCGCCATGTGAGATACTTTAAACTACTTCGAAGTACGAGGCGACGCGACGGTTTGCCTTCAGATGAAACTGGTGCATCAATTGTGGGTTCTCCGCTTGAAGACTACAGAGTCCAACGTTTCAGTTTTTTAAAATGTTGCTTTAGTGGTAAAGTAAATTGGGTAGTGGGGGAGCTTTTATAAGCTCCCAGAAACATTTTTACTGATTCTGTGTAATTTGAGTCAGTTTTTAATTTAATTCGTCTACCGGTACCCCCCCCCTTCTGTCTTGACTCTTTAAAACGGATTTTACGAAAATGAGTTATTGACAAGAGTTTTTTTTAAATTATGAGAGAGCTATATTTTGAAAAAAAGAGGTATTATCAAAGTAATCGTTTTAGGGTAACTTGTCTCTAATATCTACCATCGTTTAATAATTTTTACCACCAGTTCAACTTCTTAGCTCTTTTTATATCGACCACGTTTTCTTTAAACACCACGCTGGTTGATGCTAATCCTTGTGGGCTGCAGTGTAGTTGTAGTAGACGACATTCTCGAACTCCGGTGCACAGAAGGGGAACGCCGTTTCTTCTTCGACGGGTTTGAAGAATTCTTTACCCGTGTTGTCGCCGGATGGCTCCAGTAGCAGCAGCTAGCGAGGTTCAAGCTCACTACCAGCTGTTACTTCAATCTACGTGCCACAACTTCAAGGTGGCCAGCCGATACCTGCTAAGAGGACGCATTAAAAGAGATCAAGCTGTCGTGAGTTGCGGCGCGTGACGCGCCGGCGTGAAGCCCGCGCGTTCAAGACGAATTCAGGCACGAAGTAAGTGGGATGATTGCACAACAGTTCCAGCTAGGCCGGCCGAGCCGGACTGGTCGTAGCTGAGGAGTACAGGAGTTCTTTTTTTTTTTAAGTTTTCTCAATTTCATTCATTCTGTCTTTTACCACACCTACAACAAGTGCGAAGATAACAAAGAATTCTTTAGCTCACTTCGCTCTGGCAAGTGGAAGCGATGAGCAGTCCAGTTCACGGGAGCTGTGACTTGGCCGAGGAGGCACCTCTTTCACCTCGAGTGACCGTGGAAGATGTTGTAGTGGCGCAGCGTCAAACCCGAACGTTCGAGTCGTCGCTGTCGCGCAGCCTCCAGGCGGAATCGGGGCAGAAGGTCGATAAAGTTGCCAAGAAAGCTGAGGCAGTCCAGCAACTTACGGTCGAGCAACTCAACCGGTTTTAGCAGCAACAGGAGTCATTGGCATCGAAAACGGCTGAGTACTTGCAGCAGCAGTACGAGAACTAAGTTGCGCTGAACGCCAAACAGACAGCATTGAGCACGCAGCTCGAGGAGCAGTAGAGGGCACTAGTTGAGCAGTACCAGCTGATGCGGGAGGCCGCAGAAACAGTGGGACACCAAGGTCGTCAGATCGAGGATCTGAAGGTAGAGGTACTTTCCCCACGGGGGCAGAGCCGCTGGGGCTGGTTTGACCGGAGTGCGGGTAGAACTGCTCGTGAAGCTGATGGTGATGAAGCTATGACGAGTGGAGACCTAAGTGAGAGCCGAGTCGAGCCGACAATCACCATGGCGACGAGCTCGAACATGCCGTCGCCTCCTGTGTATCGAGGAGCCACAAAGAAGGAGAAGAAGGCGTTTATGGATAGTTATCTCATATACAAGCAGAGAGTCACCGCGCTAAATCAGGGTTCGGCTGGAAGGGTTTTTGTGATGCCCTTGAGCACCTGTATCGAGCATCGGACACTAATCCGAATTTGTATGTATGAGATTGGTAAAGCCGAGTCGGAAATCACCGAAGATGAGTGGAAGTCGTATTTCCTGGAAGCAAGGCGTTCAGAGGTGCAGGACCCTGCGCGATTGGCACAGGCCATGCGGGCGCTGTCCATGGGTACATCCCTACCGGATGCAGAATCACGTGTGATGAAACTGGTGACAGACTTTAACGAGATTCTCGACTCGCAGGATATGGATGACTTCCCGCTGGAAGATCCCAAAATGGCAGTGGAGTTTTTGTGTGCGGCCCTGAAGCCTCAAGTCCTCAAGCAGACGGTCATTACGGAGCTGAAACGCACAGTCCACAAGTCCACTAAGAAGTCGGTAAAGGTGTTTCTGGATTGGCTCAAGTATCGAGTATCGGCGGTTTTGCTTTTTGAGTCCGCAATTCAGCACACGGTTTCGTCTACCCCAAGCGGAGGTGCTCTATCGAGCCAAGACAAGACAAATTTCAAGCCACAGAATACGCGTAGAAACGACCGGTTTCAACGAGCTCCAGGAGGAGCAGTCTCTAAAGACGCAGTCCCGCGCCGGGGGTCTCCTCCAGGAACGTCGTCGGCTACCAAAGTACCGGGGCAACCACGCAAGTGCTTTAAGTGCGGTGATGCAACGCACGGGGTGTTTCAATGTCCGTTGGCGAGTGCCACTGAAGCCAAGGAGCTGTATGAAAACACCGGAAGCAGTCGAAGACAGTGGGTGCTGTCGCACTAGCTCCCCAAATTCCTGCGGTACTCAGTAAGGTGCAGACTACTCGCGCGGCGATCCAGTCTGCTACAGTGTATGTTTAACGGGGTGGTAGAAGCCAAGGCTAAACCGGACAGCGGAGCGGAAGTGTCGGTTGTATCGCCTCGTTTACTCCAGGAACTCAGTGCGAAGGGTCAGTGGATGAAGTGTCGGGACCTTACACGAAGCGAGTCGATCGAGGGCATCACCAAGGAACCGATGATTATCACTCAGGAGGTCAAGTTGGATCTGCAGTTTGCTACCGCCAATGAGAATTTGACGCTGAAAAACGTCACCTGTTGGGTGGTGGGTGCGGGCCTGCCCCCTGGCATGGGGGATATTCTTTTAAGTGAAAGCGTCATGGGACGACTAGGTTACAATCCTCAAGAGCTACTGGATAAGGCATGAAGCGTGAGTGGAATATACGACATGGATGACGGCTCCGAGGTGAGCGGTGTCCGACGGGTCCTAGCATATGCATCGACGGGTCAACAACCAGCGACTACGCCGGAGGAACAAGGATTGCAGGAAGAGGAGGAACAATGCTGTTTTCCAAAAGTAGATTTCGCTCAGGACCGAGAGGATGAGCGTGCAGTCGAGTGGAGTATACAGGAAGCTAAGCTGGAGGAGGCTGCGAAGCTGGGGTGCAGTACTGCTTTCCGAACTGAACTAACACAAATCCTCTTTGAAAACCGTGATGTTTTCCACATTAAACTCGGGCGGGACCCTCCAGTCGACATGCCGCCCCTGAAAGTGACTCTGAAAACGGACGCTGTGCCATCGAGGTGTAAAGCTCGGCGGTATCCGCCAGAGCACCGGGCGTTTATGAATAAACATGTTCAAGAGCTCATTGATGCTGGACTTTGCTATCGCAATCCTCACAGCAAGTGGTATTCCTTTCCTCTGATTGTGAAGAAAGCGCAGCCGGGTCAATTTCGCATGACAGTGAGCGTTCGTCACGTAAATGCTCAGACAATTAGGCTTTTCTGGTCAATGCCCATTCTGGAAGTATCTGGATGAATCAGAGCTCATTTTTCTGCTGGATTTCTTTAAGGGGTACTGGCAGTTTCTGTTGTCACTCGAGTGGCAGGAATTATTTTCTTTTCTTACGGACATGGAAATCTTTACGCCGACACGCGTCTTTATGGGGGGTTCAGACAGCGTGGCCTACTGCCAAGCCACGGTCCAAGTGATGTTCCAAGACTTCTTGTACTCCGGTCTGTTAATCTGGCTGGACGACCTACTGGGTTACGCGAAGTCAGAGGAGGGTTTGCTTACGCTGCTACGAGGAGTTCTTAAAGTGTGTGCTACCAAGGGATTAAAGTTGAATCCCTCAAGGTGTTCTTTTTATCTGAAGGAAGCAAAATGGTGTGGACGTTTGATCTCAAAACATGGAGTCCGCCACGATCCGGAACGGATAAGAGCTCTTCAGAGCTAGGTGTACCCGCTACCAGTCAAGATCTGCAACAATTTGTGTGTGCGCTGGGCTGGATGAGGATGTCCATCCCAGGCCACAACAAGTTGACGCAGCCTCTGATGGACCTCTTGGAGGAAGTATATCGGAAGGCTGGTGGACGATCCCGTCGCCAAGTCTTACGGGTAAAACTAGCTGACGTTGGCTGGACATCAGAACACACACAGTGTCTCCACGCCTGTAAAGAGGCATTAGGAAACGCAGTGGAACTCGCTCATGTCAAAGCGAACTACCCACTCTCGGTATTTACCGATGCTAGCGAGTCACATTGGGGAGCAATTGTAAGTCAGATTCCACCGGACCACAAAGACCAAATTTTCTCGGAGCAACATCACGAGCCGCTGATGTTTCTTAGCGAAACCTTTTCAGGATCTGCGCTGTCATGGGCCATCGGGGAAAAAGAGGCTTTTGCTATAGTGGCCACCTGTCAGCGTGCGGATTATCTCTTGCATCGACAGGGTGTATTTTCGTTGTACACGGATCATCGCAATTTCCGGTTTATCTTCAATCCATCGAGAGTCCTCAGTTCCGTACCAAAGTACACCGCCGACAAGTTGCAGAGATAGGCCCTGCTACTAATGGCGTACGAGTATGATATTTGCGATATTGCGGGCGACGAGAATGTCTGGGCGGACCTCTTGTCTCGCTGGGGATCGACGCTTCTGAAGATATGTGCAATTCACCTCGTCCCTTACGAGTACTCCCCAACTCTTAATGACGATTTCCAGTGGCCTTCAATGACTGAAATTCTCCAGTGTCAGCAGAGTGAGCCACGGCCAGACGGACTCGCACTCAGTCCAGATACTGAACGTCGCGGACGGGCAAATCTGGATTCCGGGGTCGGCAGGGTCGCTGCAACTCCGGCTGTGTATCATGGGCAACTTTGGATCTGCAGGCCACAGGGGTATGGATACAACGCGGTCTAGTATTGCGGCGCGATTCTGGTGGAACGACCTGGCTGCAGATGTGGAGTTTTTCGTTCGTCGCTGTCTTCATTGTGCTAGTGTGGTGGGTGGACCTCCAATACCACGACCGCTTGGTGAGGCTATGCATGCTGAACGTCCTAACGAGCTGATCCATTGGGATTATTTGTTTATGGGGGCGTCCAAGGGCGACGACAAGTACATTCTGGGTATCAAAGATGACGCGTCTAGATTCGTGTGGTTTTTCGCTGTACCGGACGCAACAGCAGAGACGACATACTCGTGCCTCATGGAGTGGTTTGCGACCTTCGGAGTGTGTTCAACGTGGGTCAGTGATCAAGGAACACATTTCAAAAATGAAGTGATCAAGTCGTTGCAGCATGGCCTTGGTGCGCACCATCATTTTACGACCGCTTGATGTCCTTGGGCCAACGGTACAGTAGAAGTCGTCATGCGCGAGGCACTCCGTTGTTTTCGCTCTCTCTTATCCGAATGGAAGATGTCACCGAAGGAGTGGCCTCGTCTCACGAAAGTGGTCCAATTAGTGCTACTCCACACTCCGGCCGCGTCCCTCGGCGGCCAAGCTCCTGTGACTGTCATGACGGGCCTACCAGCTATGCCTCCTTTAGATGCGATAGTTCTACCTACGCCGCTCCAGCCCACGACATTGTCCGCACTCGAGGCGCTGCGCCAGAAAGCATTTGAGGACCTGCGAGTGGCTTTGGATGATATGCACAGGATGGTGAGCGCTGCAAGCAGCGCAGCAAGGTCTAAAGGTCGTAAAAGTCATCGCAAGGCTGGAATTGTTGTGGCACAGTATGACGTCGGCGACTACGTTCTCTATGCCAACGTTTGGGCTCACACACGCGCAAAACTGAGTGTTAAATGGTGTGGGCCGGCTCAAGTCGTCGAAGCTACGTCGGCGTGGATTTTTACAGTAAAGAACCTGGTCACTGGAGATCTCCGGGATGTGCATGCCTCGCGTCTCAAATTCTACCGCGATAGCTCACTGGACGTTTCCGAGGAGTTGCTACAACATATCGCCCACAACAGCGAAGGTCACGTGGTGGCCCGACTTCTCGATTCTCGCTACAGCGCTGCTGAGAAGCGTTTCGAAATGCTTGTGACCTGGCGTGGACTCTCGACGGCTGAGGACTCTTTGAAGCCTGCGATCTCTCTACTGGAAGATGTGCTCATGATGGTGAAAAAAATCATTCGCGACCACCGTCGAGCAGCAAAACGAAGAAACTCGCTGCCAGTTTGGATCTCCTATCGTTGCTTCAAGATTAGGCCGTTTCGGAGGGTGGTGTTGTCGCAGGATGGCTCCAGTAGCAGCAGCTAGCGAGGCTCAAGCTCACTACCAGCTGCTACTTCAATCTACGTGCCACAACTTCAAGGTGGCCAACCGGAGCCTGCTAAGAGGACGCATTAAGAGAGATCAAGTTGTCGTGAGTTGCGGCGCGTGACGCGCCGGCGTGAAGCCCGCGCGTTCAAGACGAATCCAGGCACGAAGTAAGTGGGATGATTGCACAACAGTTCCAGCTAGGCCGGCCAAGCCGGACTGGTCGTAGCTGGGGAGTACAGGAGTTCGTTTTTTTTAAGCTTCCTCAATTTCATTCATTGTGTCTTTTACTACACCTACAACAAGTGCGAAGATAACAACCCGTGACGATGGTCACGTAGCAGCCGAGGCAAAAGCAGACGATGATAACTGCGAGGGCGGCCACAGTGGAAGCTCACCCCACTTCTTCTTGAGTATAAACAGGATAGGGAGGATGATGGAGGTCATTGTCACACACGACGCACCTGCGAAATCCGACAATGCGGAGAAATGGTCTTCGAATATGACCCAGAGAATGACGAGGGGCGTTATCATGATGAGCCGTAGAGTGACGTACTAGATAGCATTGGCGCCACGGTACTCAGCAGCCTCAGCCTCCCCCATGTCAAAGTACACCTCGTCATTGGCGGTGCTCGATCGAAGATGGGATGTACGAGACTGCGATAGCTTGTCGGTATAATTTACTGGCGTCGAGCCATCCGCTTAGCTGGGCGGGTTGTTTTCGATATCAACGGGTGGAAGTTTGTGCACCCCCAACAACATGCGCTCTTTGAGATAGAATACGGGGTTTTAAGATGACAGAGAAGACAACCGTTAATTGCACTTGCATTCCCAAGTAAGCGAGTATGACAAGCCCCCAATGCCGAGAATAGCCCAGTGCTGTCAGCCCTGTATGTGCGTCCGGGTATATTGTCCACGAAATGTTACCCGAGATATGACAACCGACGGTCGAATACGCAGTGCTGGCCAGGATCAGGAAAAGAATTGAAATTGTTCCGACAGTCACACCCACCACTCGAGGCATTCGCTTAGGGTCACTGTGTTGTCGGTGTATGGACGGGATCACAATTCCAGAGCCGTATGCTAGCACCAGACTGCTGAATGCACGAACCACTTGGCCAAAGTGAAGCTCTGGAGAAGGGGTACCAGGGTGACCCCGCATGCCATACATCAAGATCCCGATCCCGAGGGCCTCCGCAACTAACGTGCCCATGCACCCTACAAACGCAATGCAGCTCCTTCCTTAAGTGTAGGCACGAGACACACCGACGTGATTGTGAGAGCCATGAGAGCTGACCACGTCGTCGTAGTGAAAGCGTCTGGGAAGATACCATCCAACAGGGTCCCACCGAGCACCAAAAACGCGCACGGTACGATCAAGCAGCCTGTTACCTGAACGACGACCGTGATGTAGCGGCCAGGTTTTCTCATGGCCCACTCGCCCAGATCTCCGTAAGTCCGAACGGAGGTGGGTGCAGGCAGCATTACACGGCAGATCGACACAGCACCGTAGACATTGGCGAAAGCCATGAAGGCCACTCCGATGACCCCCAAAAAGGCCCGGCACAGGAGAAGTTGGCCGGCATCCTTTGAGTGCCAATACCGTAGACACAACAGAAAGGACTGAAAGACGCATTTAACTCCTTGATCGTAATGAAGGCCATGAATATCTCGACAAGAACTCTGGAAGCTTAACTTGGGATAGAGCTCAGTAATTGAAGAGTGAGATAAGAGTCTGCCCATCCGTATGTTTCCTGTGAACACCAAGCGAAATATTATAGTTCATAAGTATTATAGAAGCTGGCTAGGTTACGTTTAGGAGGTACCAAACCTCGCCATCGCTCCTATCGTGTGCGCTGAACGAAGTAGTCACCGAATGGCAGCCTATCGGGGTTTGAATCGAATGGGGGTCACTCAAAAATTCGAGCTGCACGCTTCTTTCTGTACCGGTCCAGAGTTTTTTATCGGACTAACTGTAAACATATTTCATATTCAAGGGGCAAAAACGAGCTAAGTCCCATGATTGGATGCTAAATATGTATTGTAGTAAGCGATCACGTTAAACAGGGCAGCTAGCATGCTTTTAGCGAATCATACGGCAACATTGAATAAATCGAGGGCAAGATAAAAATCAATAAGAGTATGCACTCGATTTGTGGCAGAGTTCTTTGTGGCATGCAAGGGATTCTATCTCCTCGATAATGAACATGATACAGCAGCTTTAAACATACACTCGCTTTATTGTGATCGTCATTCATTTTGCCCATTTTGGCTCTTGGGGCACCAAGGTTATATATATACCCGCCTTCATACCAATAATTTAGAGGGACAAGCATCGAATTGCACTGCTAATTATAGGATGTCAGGTCGATTTATGTACCCCCAGAATGCCGAGACATCCGTAGGCATATCAAGGCATTTACATATATGCAGCCTCGAAGGGACATATGCCGATCCAAGTCGCAGTCAAGGTAGGAGAAATTGGCCGTACAAGTCGAGCGAATGTGCGTGTTGAAGGCAGCTCCTTCGTCTTCGAAGAGAGGGAGGAGTTCGACCAGCTTGTTTCCAAAGTCGAGGAACTAGCTGTACTAGCACTAGAAGCATACGAACCCAAAACCGTACGACTGGATAAGAGCATTTACCTGAAGCTAGGTCTAAAGGCACCGCAACGCGAGTGGGTCCCAATCGCGGCAAGCAACTGGCTGGCAAATCTCGATACTGAACAAGCAAACTACCAACGACGGCCTTCAGCTGGACCTCTTGTTATTGAGCTGATTGTTTTTGTTGCAAAGGAGCAGAGCGGTATTTGGCGTGCAACTGCGAGTCGAGTGGAAGAAGCTTCACGCTTGATCGACAGCCATCTCCGCGAGCATCCTGACGTCCAAGTAGGCGATATAGCCCGGACACATTGGGCTTTCTCCCATGCTCGTCAGCACGATCAAACAGCTATTGCACTTCCTGACAATGCAACTTCCCATCAAGCTCAGCATATTGATGCAATCAGAGCAGCTCTAATCCAGCAACAAAGCGATCGAGACGAGCCTATACGGACGTTGACAGCTAGCTTAAATGGATCGACACCACTGCGCCTCACGTTTAACGCCAGCAAATTGAGAGAGATGCTTGGGCTTCCAAACTACAATTTTTCAGCCTAAGATATTTTCTCTGATTTCCAGCCACCCGGAGACCCCGAAGACGTTGAAGACATCGATCATCAATAGTTTCCACCTCGCGTGCTTTAAAAAGTAAACCCGCATTGATCATTTTACCGATCGTCTCCATAAAGTAGTGACCTCGTCCCATTATAGGGCGGCTCGTCCCAGTCTGGGACGGGGTGGCAAACAATATGGGACGAAGCATTCGAAAATGGGACGAGGTCACCAACTTTATGGAGTTGATTGAACGACTCTTTGTATACTCACGTTGAATGCTCAAAATCAAGATACCTACATTGCATCTAGGCCCTGCATGAAAACAGCATCATTGATTCCAGCAGGCCCGTATCCACAATGACGGAATAAGTTTGTACCAGTTTCCTCAGGTTTCACGCAAGCTCGCACTGTCACCTCCAAAACCCTTTCCGGATAAAGCGGAAACGTAAGATTTGCATGACGTCCTAGCCAACGTTTCAGCTGTCCAAACATCACTTCAATTGGGCTGTACTGCGGGAAGTATGGTGGTAGAAACAATAACACAGCACCGCACGCGTGAACGGCTTCTTCGAGTTCACTGTACATGTGGATACGGGCGTTGTCAAGTATGACAATAGAGCGGGGAAGATACCAGGGGTTGAGCTGCTGGAAAAAATGGCGGATGAGCGCACGGTGAAATTTCAGTCAGCTGAATGTACCCCGTGTAGTTGCTCACGCCCGAAATCTTTTCACGTCACATGCAGCAAGAATCGAAACACGTGGCCCTCGCGCAAAGGGAACACGGACGATAGCTCGAGTACCCTTCTTCGACCACGGATACCGCCTCATGACATCCAGCCCATTTTTTTTATGTTTCATCAAGAAACAAGAGTTGTTCGAAGTAGCTATACCAACACCGAAGCTTTGCCGCGAAAGCCTCTATCTCCAACGGCACTGCCTCTCGTGCTCGTCGCTCTAGCACTTTCCGTGATAGCCCCAGCTCAAATCGTAGCACACGCAGAATCGTCGAAGCGCTCATTCCACCTCTTAGCCCACTGAACCGACGCCGTAATTCACACTGTAGTTCCTCAATGTAGAATGTCGGATGATCTTTGACGTAGCTGGAAATGAAGTCTACCAGTTTAGGTGCGCGCTTTTTCGTCTTCATTTGGCACCGGAAATGACGTGTCCACTTGATTTAAACAGGTCGTACCAGCGCCTCACTGAACGCCCGGAGATACCCAAGATCCGAGCTACTCGCTCGGACGGCACTGCGTACGCATAGTGGAGAGTAACTGCACGCCACCGGAAGTCAGGACCGTACATGTTGCTGGATGCTGAATGAAAAAACACTAACTTTGGAATCGCGCCCTTTACCAGTCGATAAACGGCATAGGCGAACTCCCATTAGCAACACTTGAATCCAATTTATGCTCTGATTTAGGGCGATTTCATTGTGCAGAATAGCATATTTAAATTGCTTCTAATCTGTTAGGAGCTGGGTTTTCGGCTGCATTTCGCGTGGGCAAAATGGCTGGTGCTCACAATACGTATTGTTTCCCCCTTGGCGGAATTACACAAGAACAGCAAGCCCGTGCATGAATGATCATTGCTGTGAAAGTACCCCACATCAACGCAGAGGCATCCGGATGCAGGTGTGGGTAAGCCGTAGCAAAGAAAAGCCACAGCGAACCCCCTCAGCGAGTGTGGCGGCGGCAGCGGGGGAGGATAACGCGTAAAAACATGTTTTAAGAAACGCAAATACGGAAAGGTTTTGGGGTAGAAAAGAATTTTAAATAGTGACATTATCTGATCCATGGATCTGTCACAGTACCTGTACTACAACATGCCTATTGTACCACATTCTCTGTGCAATCGTCCTAGGAGTAGTAAGTTACAAAATATTTTACCCGATATTGTATCGCATTTTTCTGAGCCTATTTTCACGTTAGGGTTTAGCAAGGGTCCAAAGGCCCTAGCCCTATAAGAAGGTTAATATTTAAATTAGACCAATGAGGCTTCAGTAATGACTTAATACTCATCAGCAAGAAGCCTCTAGGGGTAGATGTTGTACACTCCAGCTTATTTCCGGAATTGCCCGGAATTGTCTGTCCTTCACGAATAAGATACACTTCAAAATCAGTACGTTAGGCGCACTCACTCTACAAGTGTCGTTTGCGATGAAAGGATCTCCACCACATATTGAATGCATAGCGATGCGAGTACTCAGCGCCATCGTAACTTTTTTCTTTCAGAAGAATGACAGAGTGTGCACACTTTGCACAAGCATGACTCAAAGAATGGTAAGGGGCTCATTCATTTGAGAACAACTAAAATCCGAATTGAAGAAGGATAATCTAACCTACCCCTCGAGTAAAGTGCGTGGAATGGGGTTGGCAGAAAGTATATTCTGGCGAGAGAAGTCATTCTGTTCTTGAAGGTCAGAATAGTGATATTAGCGGGGATTAACCTGCTTACACCGATATCAATAGGCTGGCTCGAGGGCCAGCTTTAGTTTCCGATTTACACTAGACACGGAGCTATTGAAAGTAAAGTAGTAGTGTAGTTGTCTGTGTTCTAGCTTGCGCCTATGTGTTTTTAGCTGACATTGATGACGGATGCATGCGTGACAGGAACAAGCACACACGGTAACATCAAAGTTTTTGTGTAATGGTCTCTACCTGGTTGCTCCGCGTATGTGCCATTGCGAGGAGCACGGTAAGTTGCAAGGAAGAAATTCCAGCAGGGAACAAATGCTCGGCGCGGCTGCTTGCTGCGCTGCACAAGCTGACGAGTGAGCAGCAGTACCGACGCCCAAACCCATTGTGCATTTCAAGGATTTCAAACAGGACGGAACGGGCATCTAACAGCTTCAGCACCAGAGGTCGCAACGGGTACCCGAGTTTCGGGTACCCGTCCGTGGGTGCTCCCTATCTGTCTCATATGTGGGTGCGGGTACCCGATTTGTATGTGTATGTAAACAACGGCGGTTACGCCCACCCGAAAAGTGCTGTGTTAAATTTGTGAGGATTACTTTTAATTTCTACTCATAGTAAAGCTTGAAATATGCATATGATCGGTCCTTCGGATGGGTACGGCTACCTGATAACTTTAGTGCCTATGTTACGGTACCAGAAGAGGACCAGTGCGCCCAGATGGGACACCTACAAACGTCCGTTTGCCCCTGTTCAACGCAATCACCTTAGAGATCACCGCGGTGCTCTTGACGCCGTCAAGCTGGCTGTGCAGCAGCGACAGCGCTTCGTCCTTAGCGTCGCTCCTTTTTGTCCTCCTTGCCCGCATAAATTTGCAGTAGAAAGCTGACACCCCACGCGCAGCGATAATGGCTGGCTCCCACAACGAGCTGAGTCGTGCTGACGATCGATGCGCAGCACCTTCATTCCATCTCGACGGCGGTCTCTTTCGTAGCCGCTTGCCCCCATCTGGTGGCGCACTAGGTGAAACATATTTAAAATGCGGCTGCTCTCGCTGGGTTTACCAGGCTTGACAGTCAGGTATATGCACGACTTGTTGTCGCCGCGTCGCGAACGCCCAGCACAGCCCCTCACAGAATCGCATTAGCCATTGTAGATCTCTGGTTCCTTCATTCATTGCAATATGCTCTGCTTCCATCGTGCTCTTTACGTTAATCTCTTGATTTTTGGATCCGTACGACACCACGTTGGTATTGACGAACGTCACATATCCGCTCAAACCCTTTCGGGAGTCAAGGTTATTCGCGTAATCAGCATCGATGAAGCACGTCAGATCGACGTAGTTCCCGGCGACAACGCCCATCACGAAGTCATAGTTGTTGATTCCAGCTAGGCAACGTTGCACTCGTTTAGTTGTGTGCGATCGAAGCAGGACAGAACTTACTGAGACGACACACAGCGTGCGCGATGTCCGGTCATGAAGATGAGACCAGATACTGTAATGCACCAACGATCTCTCGTTACGAGAAATGTGTATCATTTTGGACGCGCTTGGTCGTCTCAGTGCGCAGCGCCTCTAGCGTAGCAGCACATTGTAGCTTTCCATATGAAATTGCTTCAGCAGCTCCCGAATGTATTGCCGCCGGCGATCGATCAGAATCTTCACGCCTAGGAGATATTTGACTGGTCCGAGAGCAGTGCCGCACTGAGCTCTTTAGCAAAATTAGCGCGCAGGCCACTTGGGTCGAGTAGCAGTATGTCGCCAACGTACACCGTGAGCAACATGGTGACTTCTCCTCCTACTGCTCTGACGTAGTGTTCGTAGTCAGAGTCGAGACGCTCGAGACCGATCTTTATCAGAAACATGTACAAAGACGCTTGCTTCAGGCCGTACAAACTCTTATGTAGTCTGCATATGTAGCGCACAGAGTCTTCTCGAAACCCTGGAGGCGGATCACCGTACGAGAACGCGGTCTTGACGTCAACTTGTAGAATAACCTATCCGCGCTGCAACACCAACATGATCACGCATTTTATCGTTTCAAACCTGACTACAGGCGCGTAAGTTTCACTGTAGTAGATGCTGATGCGCCGAAGAAAAACTTTGGTGACCAACCTGACCTTATATCGCTTGATTCTGTCGGTTGAGTTTCTCCTCAACGCATAAAACCACTTGCACGAAATGACACGTCTACCCTTGGCGTCTGTGCGCGGTACAAGCATCCAAGTTCCGTGCTGCCGCTGTGAGCTCATCTCGGCTTGCATGGCGTCATTCCGCGCCTTT